TTTGAGGTTGTTTTTGTTTTTTTCTGGGGGGCAGGGATCTGTTCAGGGAATGGGCTATTGTTGTTGTTTATCCGAGATGATAATGTGCAGGTAGTCTGGTACCAGTTTTAGCACTAATCCATTGTGAGATTCTGAATTGGTCATTCTAGAAATGGAATGAGAGATTCAGGGGTGTGGCTTACTTGGTAGAACTCCTGATTAGCATGCACAAAGCCCTGGCTTCCTTCTTGGATTCAGTACTTAGCCCTGAATAAATTGATTATGGCAGCAAATACCTGTAATCCCAGAACTCAATAAATAGAGACAAGGGTATTAGCAGTTCAAGGTCATTCTTGGCTTTATAGTGTGTTCAAAGCCAGCCTGGGCTACATGAGACTCTGTCTCAACAAACATACAGTGTTCTTAACCCCTCAAAACATTATGGCTTCCCTTTCATTGCCTGACACATAGTTGTGAGCAAAAGCAATTTTAAATTGAAGTTGTCTGGAGAAATCTGATTGTATTGTCTTTTTATAATGATTAGCTAATACCGTTAAACAAAAAAAATACCATTTTACAAGCATTTTTCTCACTTTAGTTTCCTCATTTTGTGCACGCGCACACACACACACGTACACACACACACATACACACACGTACACACACACGTACACACACACACGTACACACACACGTACACACACACACATACACACACACGTACACACACACACGTACACACACACACACACACATACACACACACACACACACACACAGAGTTTCATATAGGTAATCCAGCCATAGTCAGGACTACTCTCTGGACATCAGCTTTCTTATCTCTGAGACAGCACTGGAACAGAAGGAGTTGACCTTCTCCTCCAACCTCAGCTTCCACAACCTCATAACCGCAAAGCCTTGTTTCCTCAGCACTGCTTTCATTGCTGTCTTATCTTGACATTTTATGTCTTCCAAATACAGAGTGAAAAATAATGTTGAAGTTTAGCTGGGCAGTGGTGGTTCACACCTTTGATCCCAGCACAGGCAGAGACAGGCAGATCTCTGTGAGTTTGAGGACAACCTGGTCTACAAAGCAAGTTCCAGGACAGCCAGGGCTGTTACACAGGGAAACTCTGTCTTGAAAAACCTAATAATAATAACAATAATAATAATGTTGGACTTACATGTCTCTTTAATTCCTCATACTCCTTACAACTATCTACACCAGTGAGCATCTGGGAAATTCATGGGTCAAAAATTAACTGGTAGTTGTGTCTCCTTATGTCTAAATCTTGTGAAGGTCATGTGTGTCTATAAGATAGAATCCTTGGTTTTCTAGTACGGAGCATTATGGAAAAGGTTAAAAGCCATCCCGGATGTAGAACACCTGCCAATAATATAAGGCATGGTTCTGAAAAAGCCTCTCATTCCTGCTAAACTTTTGCCTTTCTATCTCTCTCTCTCTCTCTCTCTCTCTCTCTCTCTCTCTCTCTCTTCCTCTCCCTCTCCCTCAGTCATTTACTCCTGACTGACTAACATTTTGTACGGTGAGTCTATTTTTAATAATTTATAAAATTTCTCACTAAGCCTCTGCCGTTCGAACTTTCACCTCTGACCTGAATGTGAATGCGCATGTCCGCCCCAGTTTCCGCAGCTACTCCGAGAGCGTAGCAGTAGAGCCAGGTCGCTCTACGAGCCTTGCTGTGGTCCGCCCTTCAGATGGGGTCTGCACTTTATTTGCTGGAAGGTTTCTACAGCAGATGTTAGCAGGCAGACAAGCTAGCACACAACCCCAAAGCCAGAGCGTGCTGCGCCAGGCGCGTGCACCCTTGCCAATACCAACCCCAGAAGTGCTGCAGGGTGATGGAGGGAGTGTACTCTGAGGGGCCAGCGCTGCTCCGAAGCCCCGCTAATGTCTCTGTGTGGCCATGCTGTATTTTCAGCTTGTCATCATGGCTGGGACAGTGCTGCTTGCCTACTACTTCGAATGCACTGACACTTTTCAGGTGCATATCCAAGGATTCTTCTGTCAGGACGGAGACTTAATGAAGCCTTACCCAGGGACGGAGGAAGAAAGTTTCATCACCCCTCTGGTGCTCTATTGCGTGCTGGCTGCCACTCCAACTGCTATTGTAAGTACAGAACAAGAGTTCTTTGTTGTCGGGCACCTGAAAGTGTTTCCTGTCTGCCTTTTCTCCTCTTTCCTGTCCTCCTGGGTCTCACCAGCGGGTAGCCTAATCAACTCTCTCCTGTTTCAGCTGGAGAAGACTGAGTAGAACTCTTCATAAAAACAACAACAAAATTAAATTGATCTTGCCTTTCATAGATGGATTTTTTTATTTTATTTTTTATTTTTTTTGCTTTTCAGTGTCAGCTGTGTTTTTTAAAAGTATGTGTGAATGTCAGAAATCAACAGACTTGGTTAGCTGGCCTCTTTAAGAATAGCTACTGTACTCTCAGAAAAAGTAGGCTGAGAGTTAGTTGTGTGTATTCAGGAGTTGACTGTTAGCGATGGCATTGCCATAGAGACTCAGATCAGAGGGGAGCAGAAGCCTCCAGCTGCTACCGCTGAACTGCAGAGGCCAGAGAGGAGCAAAATTACTTGACCCAAAATGTGCTGTCCTTGCCGCTGTCCAAGTCATATACCAGTGAGCTCAGCTGCAACCTTGCCTTCATTTATTTCACTGTCTCTCCTTTGAGGTCAAAAATTGGACGGACAGCCCTGTAGGGAGACTGCTTCAAGAGCATAAAGCTTGCAGATTCCTGTTAGGCAGTCCAGTGACTTAACACTTAGACGCTCTCATTTTATGAGAGTGTTAAAATAAACACTCGTGTGTCTGAACACATTGCTGTCACCAGGGCAGATTCATCCGGGCGTAATTTCAGTTCCGGCTCTGTCCTTCCCTTCTAATCACTTTCTAATAAAACCCCATTCTCCCACTCCACCTCCGACATGCCTTCTGCTCTCTTTCAGACCGGGCCTTCATTAAAAATACTAACTGGTTTACTGAAGAGTACGGTGATTGCTCAGACATTCAGTTCAAAAGCTATTCTCGGTGGCAAGGCTTCTCTTGACTTAAGATGAAAATTGACTGTAATTTTGAGGCTATAGAAAAATTGAATCATCACACTCTAAGTCTATTCAGATCATTTGATCCATCCTCAGCAGAGCTCCCCTTAGCTACTAAGACATCAGGAGAAATGAGAGCGATACTGATGAGATGCAACATGATGCATCCGGGTGGTTAGAAACATTAGGTCTGCAGAGCAGCGTATCCGGCTCACATCCTGGTGGGGTGACTCATCTCACTGATTCCTTCTAGACAAGGCAAGGTTGTCACTGGGTCTAGAAGTGACTTCCTAAAGTTCCTGGCATGCCCATAGTGTCCAGGAGTAAAGAACCTGGCAGGGAATTATCCTCCACCGCTTTGACATCACAGGACAAATGTCGTCATCTGAGAATTATGACATTCCATTGAGAATCCCTGAGAATAGCCTCTTCTAAAGGGATGGGAACTGGACATAACTTCTATGTCTCCTTTCCCTTATCCTTATCCTCAGCCCTAGGAAGAAAAAGAAAGCATAGAGAGAAGACACTTCTTTGTGCCTCACAAGGCAGAAAACTCTAATCCCCAGGTAAAACAAGGAAACAGGTTAAGCTCTGTCTAGAATGTACTGGTGGTGGTTCTACCATGAGGCAGTCTGGAACTGCGAGTGTGCCATAAACAGATCATGATATCATGTTCTTATGTGTTCAGACACGAATTGCTGAGTGACCCATTGAGTTACTAATACATATTTTTCCTTTCTTCCTAGTCTCATTATCATTCTCTTTATTTTCCTATAATTATTTTGTATTTATAGAGATTTTGCCCATTAAAAAAACTAAGACTAGTAGAAACATTAATAAAGATGAGCAGAAAATTTGAATTAAAGAAACAGTATAATTGCCGAATAAAATCAAAAGCAAATTCTTCAAAATGTTAAGTGCACATGAAAGTGGAAGAGAGAATATGGGACAATATTGGGGAGATAACAAGGCCCAGGGGAGGAAAAGCAAGGAAGGATTAATGGGACCAAGACACAATAAGGTTTATGTATGAAATTTTTATTATGAAAAACATTATTTTGTTTTTCTAAAAAAAGAAACCATTTTGTAATGATGTCTACTCTGCAGATGTTGCCTAGGTGAGCCTCATAGCATCCCAGTGAGGCAGAACAGAGTATTCCAATGAACATAAAAATCATGGCCAATAGCCTCCTTCATCTTTCAGTTGGGAACACCAGACACATTTTGGCTAAATGATGCCCTGAAGGTTCCATTTTTATATAAACAGATGGACAGGGATCTGCCCATTGGGTTCCATTGTTGCCCTCCTTTTAAAATTGGGGACATGGCTGGGAACCAGGGAGGCTCACAACTGGTGGGCTAATGGCAGGGAGCAATACAGTCCTCAACCCTGTTAGTCAGCAGCTATATTCCCTCAAGACCCCAATATGTGAGCAGTGGCAGGCCAGATAGCCTCTGAGCTCTGAGAAGGAGCTGTGTTCACGTCTGCGCAGTGAGGTAGGACTTGCCCATGTGAGATCTTAGCATCTCTGAGTCCTAGTGCCTCCTTCAGCACACACACCTGCTCAGAGCTCCCAGCGTTCACTGTCTCCCTCAGACTGAGGCCCCAAATAACTGTGTGACTTCTAGCTGCTTGTGTTCCCATGGGTTCAGTTTTCTCTTCTCTACACTTTTTAAAGGGATCAGGCTCAATAATTTCCAAGACCTTCTAGTTCTCAGATTTGATAAGAACACAAAAAGGTCCATTTTTTTAAAGTTAGATATTTATTAGATGGGTTATGGAGAGGAAGGAAAAAGGGGAAAAGGGGAGGAGAGAGAGAAAGAGAGAGAGAGAGAGAGAGAGAGAGAGAGAGAGAGAGAGCCTCTCCAAGAGAGAGAACAGGAAAAGAGCAAAAAGGACCATTTTGATGGAAGTTTCTGCATGTTAGATTCCTTTCTGGATTCACTTGTGTGTGCCACGTGTGCCACAGGGGTGCACAACTTATCAGTTTCTCCTTAAAAGAATTTCCCATGCTCCATGGGGTATAATGAAGGCAAGACCACTTTTCAGTGAAGTACATAGTAACTAGTAGTAAGTTTCAGAAAAATTACCTCTACCTGGACCTGGATTGTCCTTGGCTTTTTTTCCTTCCTTCCTTCCTTCCTTCCTTCCTTTCTTTCTTTCTTCCTTTCTTTCTTTATCTCCAAGCACAGTGACCATGGCTGAACTGAGCACCACACTCCTGTGTCTCCACAGATGAGCATTCACAACCCCATTCCCAGTTGCAGATGCACAGGGGAGAGCTGAGGGGAAAGACAGGGCCATTTAACCTGTAAACTCTCTGTTTCCCCTTTTATGCTTTCCTGTCAGAAAATATCAACCTCATATTGAGACAAGGCCACTTGGGATAAACTGCACGGGGCCAAAGCCATTGCTGTCACATGTCTTTAGGAAAAGTTGAAGCTTGGAGAATTTATTGTGTCCAGAACTGTTTAGCCCCCAGTAATAACCCATACTTCAAAGAAGCCTGCAGGGTTTGTTCTGACTACCTGGACAGCTTGGCTAACGAACTGCTCCCTAGGGCCTTCTGGATAAACTCCGACTCCGAGGCGAAGGAGAGAGCCAGGGAGCCTGTTGGATAAGAGGATTTACTGGGCAGCGAATCTGATTTACCCTTATTTCATCTCAGTCCCGGTGGCACAAGGCATGAGAAGATAGCTATTAAACCTTTCTCTTGGCCTCACAATGAAGTGACTGGGGAGTATTTAGCATTGAAGCAGCTGAGCATTTGACTCCCTGCCCAAGAGAACGGAAATCGCTCACAGTTTGGTATCCAAGTGCGAGCCGCGTGCACACAGACACAGGCGCAGGCGACTCAGGAGCAGTTTCCTCAGAAAGGAAAGGCCAGCGCAGTTCGAAAGAAAGGCTGGACTTGCAAATTTTCATTTGAGCATTTGTGCGAGCTCTTTGCATCCAATGTAAAAGGACATTGCAGGCCACAGAGTGGTCTCTCAGTGAAGAGCCTGTTGGCTGCCTGACAGGACCCCAGCTGCTGAAGAAGCAAAGGAGACATTGTCTACCTTGCACTCCCTCAGAATCCTCCTCTTCCGGGTTCTGCACTATCTCCTCCATTGAAACTCTTGGACATTTTCTAGGTTACATTCTATCCCTCTGTACCTCATCACATGACTTCTTCAGACAGAAAGTCCTTTTGCCAAACTATTATACTCTATCTTTACAATCTACACTTTCTTCTGGGGTGAACATATGGATGACCCAATTAAATTTATGAATTGGAAAAAATTTAAAAATTAATTTCCACATTTTTGTTCAGACTACATATTAGTGATCTAGATTTCCCTTAGTAGTGTTTGCTCATTGCACTATTTCCAGTTATTCTAAGATTAAAGGTATATTATTGTTGTTTGTGAGGGTCTTTTGTTTGTTTGTTTTGTTTTGTTTCTTCTTTTGAGGCAGTGTTTCTTTGTGTAATAGCCCTGGCTGTCCTGAAACTAGTGTAGAAGACCAGGTTGACCTCGAACTCACAGAGATCTGCCTGCCCTTGACTCCCAAATGCTGAAATTAAAGGTGGACACCACCACTTTCAGGATTTTTTTGTTTAAAGAATATTGTTTTCCTAAAAATAGGGGCTGCTTAAGTTACTTGAAGATTACAGTTGGGTTTACTTTTTTATTGAGAATGAGATTTTGATAAAATTATTTTAGGTTTCCATTGCTCTTGTTCAGCAAAACAAAAGGTATTCGTGAGTTCTATGTTTTTAGGAATATATGGTCCCACCTTTCTACAACTATAGTCTCAGCTAAGATAGCTTTCAGAGTGGGTGGAGTTGACTGCTGGATGAGACCAGAAGGCAATCTCTAGTGTTATCACAGGCACAAGATGGTTTTCCAAACGCTGTCATACATATGGCCTTTCCTGTGTGTGCTGCTAAAGGACATTGGGAGCGTCCAGTGGTGGTATCTATTATTTATATCTATGTATGATAAAGCAAAAGTCAATAATTCTTGAGAAAACTAGAGTTCTGCTAGTAAAGGAAGCAGAACCTCTTGGCAGATGTAGAG